GAAACGTCTACCTATTATAATTACAGCTCCTAATGTTGAAAAACTATTAGGAGTTCCTGGTCTTCCGTAAGGTACTGGAAAAGAAATTACTTTTACCGTCTATACTACATATTACAAGAAAAGTGTCTAGTTGACAAAGTTCAGGTTTTTGTGTTTGATATTTTAATACTTATAACTTAATTATATTTTTAAACTTGTTTTGAATAACTTTATTGAATTCATATGGTGTCCTACATTGCGTATAATAATGATTAAATATTATTCTACATAATTTATCGGAATCTATATATTTTTGTTTTTTGTGTTTTGTGTTAGGAGGAACACCACCAAATGGAATAAAATTTTGTAAACCAGGGGCTTATTACCTATCCCGATAGATGGCTAAAGCCATTTATTGCTTAAAAATGTTATTGTTTTCCGATCAATTTGAAATGAAACTTAAAAAAAAAAAAGAACACTAGAAGAAATAGTCTATTTCATAATAAAATGTTATATATAAGCATGGATTTCATCTCCAGAACTTATAAATGCGCATGTTAATGATATTAAATTTTTAAAAAACTTGTTAAGACGGTAAAGTTGGAGAAGTTAAAAAAAATGTCTAAATCATCTATGGTAGTTAAGTGAAGAATGTGTTGTATATTCTTTGTTTGATGATCACATCGATTATACAACAAAAAGTCGAATGGCAAACGTAATTTTACAAGTACAAGAGATGAGCGGATTTGAAGAAGACATAGTTGGTACTTCTATCAAAAAGTTGAGTTTAAAATTCAAAGACCTTGAATATTTTCTCGGTAAAGACTTACCATTTGATTTACTTACTAATAAATCATGGAAAGGGTTTGTGATGGTGTCGCGTTTTCATAATCGTGAGAATTATTTTAATAAAATACAGACAGCACATCCGCTGCCTGAGACTGATGAATTAACAAACAATATTTATTGCCAAATAGTTATAAATAGTTATGCAATAGTTATAATTATTATAAAAACCCAATAGACCTGACCATCGTCGTCAGTCGACTCCAGTGCCTTGTGTCATTCATCAGTCTCAGTACTCGGTTGTCGCTGTCCGGCTTACTGTTTAAAGTAAAGTCTTTGTTTATTCCTTTTCAAACCTATATACTCTTTTCCTCGACATTTCAGAGTACTTGTGTCTTGCACTTCGTCTGCACCTCGTACTTCATTATCCTCTCCTAATAACTAAAGTACTTGTGTCTTGCACTTCGTCTGCACCTCGTACTTTGTTATACTCCTTATCTGGTACGCCCAGTATTTGTGTCTTGCACTTCGTCTGCACCTTATACTCGGCTACCCCGTTCTCTCTTTGAAGTACTTGTGTCTAGCACTTCGTCTGCACCTCGAACTTCATTATCCTCTCCTATACCCAAAGTATTTGTGTCTTGCACTTCGTCTGCACCTCATACCTAGGTGTTACTCTTATTCTCCCTTCCTATAACAACAGCCTTTCGACACCCACAGCTAACCCGGAGTGTCAGCCGAGCACGGTGACTGCTGTACGACAACACGCACGTGAATACCTAGACAGCAGGCACCACATACATCATTATCCTCCTACTCTTCTTATTCGTTTCATTTTACTGTGTTACGACAGGTTTGAACGTTTTCAAATCTCTTATGATTTTTTGAGGAATAATCCAAGTGAATGGCAAAACATTCCTGAATATAATAAAGTAAAAGAACTTTTATCCGCACTAAAAATAGTAAATGATGTTGCCGAAGAGGTGTTAAATTGATAGAAGAGTATAATGACAAGTTCACTAGAAATGAAGACCTAAAACAATATTTATTAAAGATAATGAAAAACCTTATATTATATCAATGACTATATTGTAAATATTTATATATTCTGATCCTTTAGCATCATTACTATTTAAATATATATTATATAATTTTCAATTTTTAAATCGTTCTTAACTACTGTCAACAATACCCAGGGTTTAACTAATAAAAGTTATTAAAAAAACTATTAACTATTAAGTTGTTAAAAAAGCTATTAAAAAAACGTTTCTATAAGTCAATAAGTTTATTATTATTATGATATTTTTTTATAATGCAATTAAGTTCTTAAAAATTGTATTTTTTTTAAAAATAAATGAATTTGAATGTTTATAATTTTTTATATATTTTTATAAGTATTTAGATTCGATGCGTAGGTGAGAAACTATTTAGTATCTGTCACATCTGTTTAAATTTATTTTTATTACCTTCTAACAATTGACACGACTTGCGTCGCAAAAATGTGGTCGACACTGGTTTTGAGGGTAGAGCTCCGTGGGCCGTTTATTAAATGAGCGACAACAGATTATGTTAACAAAAATAAAACAAACCGAAAAGATAAACACAGTAATAATAATCTTCGCATAATATCGCGGCACTTTCGCTGGCGTCGACGACGCGATGTTCGGCGTAATCCTTGGACGGCAAAATGGTTAGCAGCGTTGTAGGCGACGGTGCGCGGGTGCGGTTCGGCTGTCGACGTTGTCGCTTTCACAACGGGAGGAAGACTCTCGCACCATTTGCGGCGGGTCGTCGTCGGCCGTGCGGCATTTGCTGGACTTTGCACCGTAGCGTATAACACGCGGTGTTGGTCAGTCAAATACTCATAGTAGGGCGACGGCTGATAAAGGTGGCACGAGTCGCGGGGCATCGTGTATAACGAAGCGACGCGGGCCGTGTCACAATTTATAGTATTTTGAAAATTCGTCATATTAAGCATTACTTATGAAAAATGTGTAAAAGTCATCTTTTAAAATTTATCGATACAATTATAGGCAAAACATTAAATATTACAAAAAATCTTATTTATACTTTTTTATTATAAATAATATGTCCTACAAAAAATAATAAGAAACATTTTTATATAAATACTAAATTTAACGAGTTACATTAAAAAAACTAAAAATTTTGTGAAAATCTGTGAAATACGATATTTAGCGATTTTTAACTATTATAAAAGAAAATAAAAACATTACAGAAAATATTATTAATACTTCATTTTTGTAAATAATGTGATCAACAAAATTAGTTTAGTAGAATATTTTTTCATAAATATAAAATTGAAAGAGTTATGTTAAAAAAAAACTGTTTTCTGCCTTTAGCCGCATAAATTCAACCCCTTTGAGGGACCGGAAAGGATGTGTCTATCAAACTCAAATTTTATATATACACTTTTATAAGTCAACCAAATAGAAAGGGGGGTCCAGGCAATAAATTTAAAAAAAAACTCATATTCAATAGCTAAGGACCACCCTAATAAATATATATATATATATTTAATATATGAATATATAAAGGGAAATCGTATTTCCCTTATGGGGCAGGTAAAAGGCCAGATTTATAAAAAAAATGTATAAAATTGGCACTTTTTTATTTTTATTTTTGAGTAATTTTAAAAGCTGCTAGCTCCGTCAACAATTGTAATGTATTACTTACCTTGGCTAATAGGTCACTGTTTAGTGTTTCCCCTAGGCAGTGGTAATCAGTTAACTCATACTAAAGGCTCAACCGTTACAAGGTTAATTTTGGCATGAGTATAATGTGAACATTTATAAAAATAAAAGTCGAAAAATAATGTGCCACATAATCTATTTTATAGTCTTTAATTCATCTTTAACTGTACTTACCTGTCGATAGATTAACTGTAATTTTAGATAAGTTCGGAAACGTTGTTTACATATAGAATAATTAAGTTATAATGACCACTGATAATTTTTATTTAAACCTATCTACTACTACCAGATATGTGTTTGACAGCATGAAGTACTTTAAATGACACTAATTGTTGATTAGAAACACTATAACAATTGAACAGGTTCTAATTTCACAGATGAAGGTGATAACTATGTTGATAAGAATGCTAAAACGTCTATAGGTATAATTCCAGATATTAGGATATGCATTGACCGATAATTTTATATTCTATAAATACCTCAACGAAAGATTGCTTGTAAAAAAAAGATTACTAAAATGTCCATTTAAGTTTTTCTTGTGCAATTCAATTTAATTTATTTTTCTTAATTAATTTGCAGATTATTTGGAATTGATATCACCTTTATAAAATGAATTTCATAAATATGATCGTATTAAATCCCATCTTTATACAAGACACTTTTCTACCATTAAAACGAGAATTATTAAAAAATGGTTTAACATAAAAAGTTTTTTTCATGTTAGTTCTTTTTAAAATTAAATTCTCTATTGAAATAAAAAAAAAAATTAGGTGTTGTTATTTGAATTTCTTAAATTAGGGTAGTATACACCCTTATGCAATGAAGTTGTATTTAATTATAATAGATTAATTTAATTAATCAATTAACATCTAAAAAACAAAAATTATTAAAAAAATCAATAGTGGCTCTAAAAAATCGGTGTTTTCAAACTTATTGAACACTCTGTGTATATATATATAAATTTTAAATTAAAAAAGATTGTAAAGTTTATTTTTTTTATCTTTTATATTAAAGTTGAAGAAGTGTTTTGTGTGAATAATTTTTTATCCTACCAAGATTAAATTTCAACAAATGCCTCTGACCTCAATCACACTTGCAGAATTTCAGCACTATTATATTATAAACGATATTTATCATTATGAAGTATTGTAGTTTTGAAGAACAAAATAGTCTTCCTTTTTATAAAAAAATGTTGAAGATATTGTGTACATTTTTATGTTCATTAAAATGAATAAATATCAAATTTTTACCAACTCATGGTAAATAAAAAATATACAATTTTATACCAAATCAGTATTATAACATTTGAATACATAAAAAGAGCTCATATACGGGAGATTACAAAATTGTAATTTATAAAAATTATTCTATAATAATATTTTAAAATTAATGAAAACAATTTTTTTATTATTTTTAACTGATATTGATATTAGATTTTCCACTTGATATAATAAATATGCATATTAAAAAAATACTATCATTAATGTAGTTACTGACGCATAATATTCGAGGGCGTATCATAAATATTTTTATAATAAAATCACTGCTGAATTAAAACGAGATTTTTTTACGTATTCCTCAATTTATTAATATTGTTGAGTAATTTTTAGGTTTCAAAGTTACAATGAATATGTTCATGAACATGTTAAACACATTAATAACATGATTTTAAATCAGTTTCAAGTTGAGCTTCCGTTGATTGTAAACATATGATATTGTAACATCCCCTAATATTTTTTCTTGAATCTGTGTACTCAATTTTTAATTTCCAACACCCAATATACATCACTGGTCTTATCATTGGTTCTAGTTGATTTCTACTTATTATTTGAGAAGTCTGTATTTTTATGAAATTATCTTTTGTTAGTAAATGTATTAGAAGTAGTTTCAATAACTATTAAACTATTGTTTTATAACTATTTATATCTAAATAACAATAAATGTATAATAGCAGGTTCTTTATATGTTATTCCAACTCGGGTATTTTTGTCCAATATAAATTGCTAAAAATATTATTAATTGATGANTTTTATATGTTATTCCAACTCGGATATTTTTGTCCAATATGAATTGCTAAAAATATTATTAATTGATGAAAACTTACTTTTTTCAATGGACAATCGTGAGGAAATGATATAAATTTCCTTAGGATAGGCATCATTATAACATCATACTTTACAAATGTACAAAAATTTATAGTTTTTCCTGATAATGATCGTACATATTCCCACGTTTTATTTTTTTTCGTAAAAGTCGTTAACGTAAGCTAAAAAATCAGATGAAATAAAATAACTTTGGTGTGAAAAAAGTGCATGAAATAGTTGGTATGCGAATCAGAATATTGATATTTTATTACTATTTACTTGGTGAATGTATTTTAGAATATTTATTAAATGTAAAATACGGCCTACCTAATTTGACCGTTAAACAGTCGTGCCTATTAGGTACCGGAGTCCGATTCCGATGCACTAAACTATCCGTCCTCTCTGGTACAAGAAATAGCTTTTACAGATAATATTAAACATAAATAAATAAACAAACACAAATATTCTAATGATAATTTCAGACCAAGAAGTTATTATTTTTCATTTATTATCTGTGTAATATGTACATCTGTGGTTACTGATGAGTATAATATAAGCACCCCAAAATAAATTATCGTTTTTTTTTTATTGAACTTGTTATTATTTTTTTTATAGGAAAACCCTATTTTTTTCCTCACCAAGACAGTTTGCAAGTAGCATCTAAAGCGCGGAGTGCCATGTAAGAATAGTTATTTGCAAGTTTTGTACTATTTAAACAATTATTTTAACGCAAAAAGATACTTATTTTATGTATACCGGTTAAGTTTGGGAATTTTTTAGCGATATTTTCAACTTAATTTTAATTTATTATCATTTAATGTATCAGTGATATAATATAGTTCATTATTTTGTAAAACTGAAAGTAAAATATTTTTGTAATGTTTGGATAATTGTAATTCCCTGAATTATTGTTACTAGACCAGGAAGTAAACATTTATAAACATTTTTGAAAATGATTGTATTATTGTAAAAAAATAAACAACAAAATATTTTAGTATATAAGATGAAATGGAATGAATTGAAGGGAGAGAAGCCTTCGGGAGTACCGAAGGTAATTTCTTTTCGCGTGGTATGTTTAAGATATTAAGTTTTCATTTTGTGTATTGTTTTATTGTGTTTTAAGTGTATCTTTATTTTGTATGTTTTACATTGTTTGATTATATTTTTAATAATTACATTTGCGTTATTATTGAACTTTTATTACTATAAGTTATAACAAAATGGTTGTTACGTATTTAAATACAACAGTGATAACATTGGTTTCACAGTATTTCATATTTGTGCTTACTTAAAAAAAATAGCAAACATAATTACCGTTAAATTCATATGGTGTGTTACATCTTGGTATATTGTAAAACTATTTGGTGGTACTGTATCAGGTGGTGGTTCATTTATGTACGTATTAATGAGTTCAAGTTCTCTATTTTTCATACACCTTATTGTTTTTAAAACTTTAAAGATAAAAAGGGCCTAAAAATAAATGAATTAATTCAGACGATGTAATGAAAAGAAACTGCCTCATTATACAGATTATCTAACTGAATTCATTAGAAAAATAAGGTAAAATATTATCAAACACAATACATTTGTTATATTTATAATAAAAATATTGCAAAGCTTCAATACTTATTTTTTAAGTACTAGTATAGTCAAAATAATTTTTATTATTAATATTAAAAATAAGTATAGTTAATGAAATTCGAACCCTAGGTTGAATATAATTAAAAAAAGAAGAAGAATTTTTTAACCAACAATAAGTAATGACATAATTTTATTTTTGCACACAATTTTCAGCATGGAGTTAGAAAAAAAATGTTTAATTATTTGGTGTATAAGTCCAAAATAACATATAATAAGTACAGTGCATAGTTATTTAATATAAATGAAGTTGATAAATTATTCTATTAAATTTGAATGATTAATTTAATAATTTTCACTCCAATTTTAGATTCAATGCGAAGCTGAGAAGGTATTAGTTTTACTATGATGTGTTTTTTTTTTTTTGTGTGTCTGTTACCACTTTTTTTTAGCTCTCACCGACCCATTATCTTTCAATGATACGTCAAAAGATCACAAATCATATCTAGTCGAAGACATTACCCTTAAATATTAAAAAATTTCATTCGTTCCCCGTAAATGGGGGAAACCTCAAAAAAAATTACAAGTTTAAAAATCGCTAATTTTCGAAATTCTTTCAATTTTTTTTTACTACTTTTCATTTGGTATATTTTTTTTATAAATCTTACACTTTACTTGCCCACAGGGGGGGATTCAAAATGACAACTTTTTCAACTTAACTTTTGAAAGTGTTCCGGAAGTCTGACACTTTTATATATATATCTTAAATTAAAGCTAATATAATGTATTTTATCATAGAAAAAAATAATTATTGCTTTATTTTGTCTTCAAAATATGAAACTGACTACCAAATGCTATTCTTGTGTCGAAATTCTCGATTTTATTTTTTACATTTTTAACTTTATAATGCTATAACTTATTAAAAATGTGTATGGATCAACACAATTCTTTTATGAGAAATAATATTTTTTAATATCTTTTTTTCATTCGACATACTCTATCTTAATCAAGATATTAATAAGAATCTAGCAGATCATGTAGCTTTTGGAATAATCCACCAATTTTTTAAAATTAAACACTATCTAAAGATTTGCATGGAAGCGTTTTTTTTTTTATAGTGATTTCAATCACTGTCAGATATCATTATACTTGATCCAACTATGTCACGTCACCACTGTGCCGCGACCCCACTGTGCTGGGTTTTTTTCTTTTATTTATTGAAAATGATTATTTTTTGAGAAAAAAAAATTCTAAGTTTTCACTCATATTTAAATTACAAAACTGCTAAATTCATTGAACTAATCATTATTTTGTTATTTCGAGTAAAAAATACCTGTTAAACGATCATTTATTCATTAATTTGCTCATTGAAACTTACTCAATATTAATTATTATCTCATAAATGGAATAAAAATATGCTTTTATTATTATTTTTTTTTTTCAGTTCATTACTTGTTAGATAGAGTTTTAATCTCATTATTAATTTATAATTTGTATATGTTGATAGTTTGTCAAGCTTCAAAAAAAGAAAAATTGTTTATGACTACCATATACTACAAGCTATGTGCAATAAAAAAAAAAAGTGCGCACTTATATCCCAAGTTACTCTATATTTAATGCAATTTTTTTATCTTACTTGAGATATACTGACAAATATTAAAAAACAAAACAATATTTCGGTGCAAATTTTATTAATAAACATATTTATATTATGAAATTGAATTCAAAATAAGCTATCTGGTTATTGAAATATAGAAAATTTCATACACACAACTAATTACTTCAGTAAATTAAATTGATTGCGTTAATAAATTCCCATCTATTACCTACTGAAGTCGAAATCTGTTTCCATCAGTGCTGCCAAATCTGTCAATAGGAAAAATGGGGCATATTTTGCTGCATTATGTTAACATGTACCAAATATGATATTTACAGTACAAGT